TTCTAGAACATTTATCTCAAAGAACTACACAGAACCATAGAGATGGTATATTTGGTGAAGAGTTTAGAAAGAAAGTTAGGGAGGGAGAAGGAAGAGAACCTATTGTACATGACCTTGCAAACGAAAGTTTACAAAATGTCATAAAAACTTACTTTGCAGACAATGAATCGAGAAGGGATGAATATTTAAGAAAACTCAAATGGACAGTACCAAATGAAATGTTAGTATTGAAAAACATGTTCCTTGACAAAATAAAACCAACTACAGAAATAAATGACGCAAGACTGAAAGATTGGGTAAAAGCTTTCCCATTCACAAAAGATATTGTTGGTAACATGGAAAGAAAACCAGAATGGCTACAAAAACATATATTTGGAAACGAGCTTATTCCATATGGACAAGCTCTGTTTGAAGAGCTTGAACCGGAAACTCAGGAAAGAGTCATGCAAACAATACGCGAAGACTCAAATACAGACTATGACAAACTCTTTCTAGGATATAGGTTACCTGAGATGGGCGACCAGAGCCCAAAGGCAAAAAGGACATGGGAAATTTACAACATACTAGGTGAACATGAGGCAAAGATGCAACAACTTGAAGCAGAGGGCAAGTTACCAAAAGCGACACCAAAGAAGAAGAGTAGAACAAAGTGAAATAGTGAAGAAGTAACTTCATCTAGTGAAAGTAGTGGCAATGAAGGAAAAAGAAGAGTTAAAAACTCAGTCAGGAAGAAAGTAAAGCTTGGTCGGAGTGGGTTCTATTATGACATATAAATCCAACTATTCTATATTTTTACCCATATGAAATGTACGCCGCTCAGAATATAACGCCAACAGTTTTGGATGCCATGAATGGAAATGTTTCCGAATGGTATAACGAATGCGACAATGCCATTAGAAGGTCAGAAATAGTTCCTGGAACTTACGAATATACAACTGCTGTTTCTTATGGAAACGTAGGTGAGTTTGGAGAAGGTTCTTCAACAACAGTAGATATTGCTTGCGACAGGTTTCATATTATTTCTATTGACAACTCTTTCTTATACGTGGAACAAGACATTGAAATAAAACCTTCTGCCAAGTTGTCTGACAAGAAAGGTTGCAATGGAATTTTCTATGTCGGATACCAATATGCTCCAGAAGTTTTCATGGGATATAAGATATATTCTAACTCTGACTTAGTTCAAACAGTAACATGGGCAAACTATGAATGGTTCGCTTTGAGAAACTCAGTACAACCACAAGCTAGAGAACAAACAGACCAGTATGCAACTATTGAGAAAATAAGAAGACTTGACCCTAACGTTCCAGGAGTTTATGTTAACCTTTCTGGACAAACTGCAGCAGCAGTAACCAAAGTAAAATTGAAACTTAGAGTTCCTTTGTCATCTTTCCTCATCTTCAGGTTTTTAAGATACTTGCCAAACTGGGCAGGAAAAATTTCTATCGAACTTACTCCAAGCAAAAATAACTTAGTCATTGCACCAACACAAGACCCATTCACTATTACAGATACAGCTGGTGGAGCCAAGTTCTGTGACTTTTGCAAAGACAAAGTTGACTTAGACTTTGGTTTCTCAAACTTCAACACTGAAGTAAACTATTATTTCAATGCTGCTGGAACTGCTTGGGACCCAGTTAAGTTCACATGCGAAAAGTTTGAATGCAAGAGAATAGAAAGCAGACTTGCAGTCTATATGTTGGACCCAGATATTTCAAATGCTTTAGCTGCCAAATATATTGCAGTTCCACTTATGTTCCCTATACACCAAATATCTGTCAAAGACTTTGCAGGTGAAGTTGGAAACCAAAGTGCTGACCCAGGTGCAAGAACAGATATTGCCTTAACAACTGCAATGAAACATGCAGATACTATGTTTGTACTGTTCAGACGAACTATAAATGACTATTCTTGTTTCTACAACCCTGGTATTAAATATCATATAAACATAGATGGCAAATATTATCCAAGAGAAGAATATTCTACAGTTGAGGATATGAGGTCATACAACTTGACATTAGATGCTATGAACTTTAACAACAACTTCACAACAACCATTAACCCTGAAATGCAAAGTTCTATTATGCCATATGTGAAAGTATGGACTCATACAGGAGGTCAAAAAACTCAATATACAAATGGAGACCGTTCAAACTTTTGGCTTGGCATTCCATTTGCTGACTCAGAAGACTTTATGGGTGGTATTTCAACTGTTGGTACAGTTCAAATACAATATACTGGTGACAGAGACGGTCCAGATGAATTGAAAGCAAAGAAGTTTACAAAACCAATAGCACTTTTCACGGAAGATGCTCTTTTGAAGATTCGTTCGATGAAACCTGCTGGGGCTCCTCAGATTGGTATAACGACAGCTTCCATCGAGCAGATTTTGGCAGCAGGTCAGTAAGTTGTTCTTGAACTGACTTCTCTCCGTCAAATATTGACAGTACGCCAGTTTTGACATAGTATTGTATTATAAACTTACCTTTAGAAATATCGGTCAGTTTTGTTGTTATATTTTTGTCAACGTCAAGAACTTTCACCATTTCAGTTATACCAACTTTCTTTGCTTTATGAAAATATTTTGGTTCAGCAAATATTGCTATTCTATAACATTTTCCATTGTTTGTGTAAAGAACTATTCTATCAGTGTATTTGTATTGTTTGTGTGTGTAAACTTTGTTTTGCTTCAATTCGAAGAGATACTCAAATACGTCCATCTTTTTATTCTAAGTAAAATGTCATTTCCGAAAAATAGAAGCGTAAGTGTTTCAAAAGGTTTAATGGCGGTGGCAGATGTGAAGTTAAATTCACCAACTCAAACAAACAGTCAAAGTGTTGTTGTCAATGTCAAAGAAAGAGATGTTGAAGTGGGGAAACCATACGAAGACGAAGATGGTATAACAATAGTTCCTGCAAAAGAACAACCAACATATCCTGAAGTTAGCAGAGACTTAAGTTCTGTTGCAGATATTCGAAACGACTACCAACAACTTAAAGACAAACTTAAAACTCAGGAGAAGATTTGTCAAGCTTTAGGTATAATGTTAAACTTGGTCGAACACAACCCTGTAAAAGTGAACTCATATGTCATTGCACCTCATGAAGTTTTGAAAGAACTATTGAAACTTTTGACAGAGGCAGACGATATAAACATCAAAGAAATAGAACCCGACATTGCTTGCTGTGGTGTTTCATATAATGTCATTGACAAGATATACGTTATGAAAGGAGGTGAAACGTTGAACTTAAAATATAGTTTCCCAGACGTTATAAAAATATTTGACGACCAAACATTTCATTAAAATTTAGTTGCTAAGTAAAAATGTCAAAACTTCTTGAAAGATGTTTGAAGAAAAATAATATAGACTTTATTTCATGTAAAGGACTTTACACACTTTTGAACGATATGAAAGACCCTGTTTTGTTTGTTCGTGTAGACAAAGGAAAGTTCTATGTCTTTACAAAATATTTGAACTTCTTAGACAGAGAACTTCAAGAAACGCCATGTGAAAGTTTAGATGAAGTTCTTCTCCACTTTCAGAAAAACTTTTAAATATATGTAAATGGCAGAAGACATAGTGGTTTATACTATTACGACTAAAAACCCTGAGTCATATAATTCTATAACAACAAACTTACAAAGTCCTCAAGGACGATATTGTAAACTAACCTTAAACACAATGACGACTAAAGCCTGTTTTGCTCTTTTGACACCAGAAGATTTTATTGTTGTGAATGGTAAAAAATACTCCTTTGAAGATACTTACTCAGATATACCACCAACAGGTTTTGTTGACTTATTTAATACTTTAAGTACGGGTGTAACATGTGCTGCAACTAGAGCAGGTTTCATTATGTTTGGATGTCCGACTGAGTTTACTATAAACGATATGAGCTATAATACAAAACTTATATCTGGTTTTACTACCAACAATTTCCTATAACAGGAAAAGGTGTCATACAAGGTTTGTCTATTCCATTGACTTTAAGTACACCTATTTTATATATTGTTTCAAACTTAGGTTCAAAGTGTTATTCGAATGTCGACAGAAACTACTATGACCAAAAGATACTCATGCGTATAAACAACACATTCTCTGCTGGTTTGCCTATTGTTCATTCGAATGCAGAGTTTTCAGCTTTAGTAAACTCAAACACTTTAGCAAACATAAACTTAACCTTAGTTGACGCAAACTTTGTTCCTGTAAAACTTTTATGTCCTATGTATTTGTCAATGACGGCAGAAAGTTTCGAATTGGAAGATGCAACTGGTGAAAGTATTGTACTACAAGAACAACTTCAACAACAAATAGCTCAAGAACAACAAATGCAACAAATGGAACAAATGCAACAACAAAGTCAAGAATAAAAAAAATATTTTTTTTTATTTTTATAAAAATGTACAGAATAGATGTTTCAGATTTTTATGACTTCCAAGCATTCAGAAATATGTGTCCATTTAGAGACTATAACAAAGCAGTCGAGAATTTGAAACGTTTAGTCATTTATGTTGACTCTGCCCCAGAATGTTATGTCATGAAAGAATGGGATGTGTCTTTAACAAACCAAGAGCAACAATAGTGTCTGAACAAGAATGTAGACAGAAACTTAAGAAAATAAAAGTCGTACAAGTTGGTATGAAGATGTTAGATGCTTGGGATATCTTATTGTCAAAACTTGAAGATTTTTCAGTTCGTGGTATAAAGTTCTATACACCATCTCCAAACTTCTATTCTATCTTCACTGGATATAAATACGAACAAGTAGAATGGAAAGAAAATGTTATAGAAGCTTGGTTAGACCATGTCAAAGAAATTATATGCAATGGAAACGAAAGAGTCTATGAGTATATCTTATGTTGGTTTGCAAACATCTTACAACATCCAAGTGCTAAAAATGAAACTGCTCTCATCATAATTGGAAAACAAGGAACAGGTAAGAACACTTTCTTTACAGATATCTTATGCAAACTGTTAGAGGGCTATTCGAACCCTAATATGACAAACTTAGAAAACATCTGCGGTAAATTTAACTCTTCAATAGAGAATATGAAACTTATAGTATGTAACGAACTTCAAAGTATAGATACAACAAAAGTTTTGAACTCAGATGCTTTGAAGAGTCTTATAACAGACAAAGTTGGAGTTGTTGAAAGAAAATATAAAGACCAAAGAGTTTGTGAAAATGTTGCAAATTTCATTATGGTTTCAAACAATGCCGTTCCGATGAAGTTAGAAAGTTCTGACAGAAGATATGTAGTTGTCAGAACGTCAGATTCTCATATGCAAGATACAGAATATTTTGACGACTTAGCAGAAACTTTGACATCTGACTTTTACAACCACTTGTTCTCATATTTCATGACATTAGATATTTCTAAGTTCAATCCAAGACAAATTCCACATACCGAAGAGAGACAAACATTGTTAGAAGCAAACAAGAGTGTATATGAACTGTTCATAGATGAAACTGACTTTGAGTGTTTAGATGAAAGGTCATTGTACGATTCGTATAAACAATATTGTCAAGAGTATGGTTATATGACAGCGTCTAAACGAACATTCTTGGCAAATGTCAAAAGTCTTTTAGACGTACAGAATGGTGTATATACAAAGAAAAATTTTTCTGAGTAAATTTTAAAAAAAAATATTTTTTTATCCGATAGAAAAGATGACGAAATTCATCTCAGTAAACAAGTATATGTCAGGACTTAAAGAAGAACTAGACCCATTCACATATTTGAATGTTTACTTCTACCATTTTGAAAAGTCTACATTTGACAAAGTTTGGAACATCGAACCAGTTAAGTTTGCTATTGTGACTAAAAATGGTGCGAAATTTGAAGACTTAGACATAGAAGGTTTGTTAACAGTCAAAGAAAGTTTTGACAGAAGGTTCTCAAACCTTAAAGAAGGCAAAGCATACAAACTTGTTATACCTTATGAACCAAAGAAAGCAGACGACTATGAATATTATGAGTCTAAGATAGTTGAAGTTCAAGGTAAATTGGGTAAAAAGATTTTAGAGTCTAAGCCAGTGTTTGCTCCTAAAGAGGAAGAGAACATTGACATTGACCCAGAAATGTTCTAAAAATAAAATTTTATTTTTACATGTCAAATTTCTTTTTCTCTGGAACTGGCTCTGGTTCTTTCTTCTCTTCTTCTACTTTCTTTTCTTTCTTTTCTCTCTTCTTCTTTTCTGGTGGAGTTATGTCAAACTTCTCAGAACCATATTTTTGTAAAAGTTCTTTGTCCTTTAATAGCTCTTCTATTCTGTTTTCTATTTCATTTTCAAGAACAGCGCATGTGTCTTCTTTGCATTCTAAGAAGTTTTGTTGGACTTCATCTCTCCAAGAGGCGTCATCTCTGTCAACAAGTCTGTCATTGACAAATTTTAAGACTTCTCTGCTTAATGTTTTATGGTTCTTGTCATATTCCCAGAAACAGAACTTTAGAACAAATTCACCTTTCTTGTTTACACTATGTAAGATTTTATGGTCGACAGTTTTTGCTGTCGAAAAGCTTGTCTCGAATATAGATAGCGAAATCGCTAGACATTTTCTAAAAGATAAAAATTTTAATTTTTCTAAAAATATGTTAGAAAAAAAGTTTGCTGACATTGACAAGAAATTTGAGAATGTTTTAAACAAGAACAAGAGGAAGTTGGAAAATGCTCAGATAAAACCCATACATGACAAGTTCTTATTTGCTCAGAATGGTATAACAGGTCTAATCGCACCACCTGGGTCGGGTAAGACTTTCACTTATCTTAAAATGGCTGCACAACAACAAGAACTAGATGAGAAGAACCCATTCTATGAGTTAGTAGTCATTTGTAGTACTTCGGGTCAATTTGACCAAACCGTCAATTCGTTCAAAGATATTATAAAGAAGTCTAAGTTAGTATGTATAAAAGACTCTGAGTTGTTGGATTGGATAAAGAAGTACCAAAGAAGAGTTTTGAAGTACAATGCTATAAATGAGTATATAAACTCGAAGTTTAAAGACCCAAATGAGGAAATGCAGAGAATATTAGAGAAGAAACACTTCAGAAACAAACAGAAAGAGATAGAGTACATTTCGAAGAAATTGCAATCTTACGATTGGAAGACTTACCCTCACAGATGTCTTCTTATCTTAGATGATTTCGCCTCTCATCCTTTGTTAAAGAATAGAGAACAAGACATGTGTCGAATTCTTAAGAAGCTCAGACACTTTAACATCTCAGTTGTCATTTGTGTACAGACAGCCAAGAGTTTAAGTAAGGATGTAAAGAGAATACTTACTGATATTATACTTTTCCCCGGATTGTCCGAAGACGATTTCATGGAACTTATGAAAGAGTCCATGGCAGGTAAGTTTGACAGACATGAACTATGGGAGAAGTACAAAGTCATACAAGACCCTCATACTTCTTTCAGAATTCATATCTACGCGAACAAAGTTCAAATTGTAAAAAGTCAAGCTTGAAAAATGTAAGTGTTTGAGTCTTAGTCTGTTGTGGTGCTGGGGCTGTCGGTTCTTCTGGCTTTGGAAGACATTCAGGAAGAGGAACGTCGGACATTCGTTTGTGTCCTGTCGGAAGGAAGAACTTTTCCTGTTGGAAGGAAGAACTTTTCCTGTTGGAAGGAAAAATTTTTCCTGTCGGAAGGAAAATTTTTTCCTGTCGGAAGGAAAAACTTTTTCTGAAGTTCGACCAAAAAAGTTCTCAATTTTCGAAAATTTGAATGGTTTACGGACGGACAACTGGAAAATTTTTTCCTGTCGGAAGGAAAATTTTTTCCTGTCGGAAGGAAATTTTTTTCCTGTCGGAAGGAAATTTTTTTCCTGTCGGAAGGAAGGACTCGGAATGCCAGAAGGATTTGACAAGACAATTTACCTTATAGAGCTACCTGAGCCATTTGAAGTCAAGCTTGAAAAATAAATGGTTCATTTACTCTGCTTGTTTGAAGTTGTCAAAATACTCTGTTATTTTTTCTTTCAGTAGCGGTAAGTCTTCTTTGAATGTAAGTATTGTACAACCTTTCATATCATAGTGTGTTTGAGGTAACGTATCTTGAACTATTTGTTTCACATCTTCATTTGGTGTCATTGAAATCGGTAAGTTTTCGCGATAGAACCAATTTCTGTTAGATTTGTAAATCTTAGCAAGGTCGTAAAAGCTTTTGTTGTTTCTTCTGACTAAATGCAACATAACCATATCTCTGTCTTCTTCATTTTCCATCTCTTCAGTATAAATCATATACTTATAGTTCTTTTCCTTTCCTTTTGGTACCGAACGTGGTATTCTTTTCTGTATGTTTTTGTCTTTTGCTTCAAGCTTGTTCTCTAGCTCTTCACGTTCTTGTCTATGAATTTCGTCAAGAAGTCTGAAAATATAACAAGCATAACGAGGTGAAGCCCACATTGCAACAGCATTTACAAGAAGTCTATGAACATACCAACCTCTCAAACCATTTGGCAAATTTTTACGATTTTCGTACGGAATCTCGACCCTCGATTTTTCGAGGGTCGCAAACATATGAGGAAATTCTTCTAAAAGTTCTTTTGTCTGTTGGTTTTCAAACCAATGATATGCTTGCTTTGTAGAACGAAGAGCATTCAAAATACTTTGCATTTGGTACATGTCATCTTTGACCGAACGAATGAGACGTAACTGTTTGTTATACTGAACCCACTCGTATTCTTCATCTATAGCTTCATGAACGATAGCAGTTGTTGTGTTCTCTGATGTTGACATATCTGTCTTTACATACAAAATAAAAAAAAATATTTTATAAAAAACTAGCGTTATTTTCTATCTTGTATAAAAGACCAAAAATAAACGCTTTACATGTATTTTTCAGCAACTTCGTCAAATAATTTTATAGCACTATCTATCTCATCTACTTCAAACGTTTCTTTACCTTTCGTGGGAGCACCATACATTTTCTCCAACTTTTCAAGTAGTTCTGTTTCAGCAGCTCTCATATCATTTACAAACACAACCTTGACTCTATTGACTGTATTGTCATATCTTTGAGTTATATTATATGTTCTTCCTATCTTATATCTCTTTGTATTGAAGTCCTTCGGTTTCTGAACGATGTAAAGTAAGCCTTCACTGCAACGTTCCGTATCGAATGAACCATATGTTATGAAGTTATATCCAACAACTGGGTCTAACCATAACAAAACTATTGGTATAAGACTTTTGTCTATAAGATATGCTCTTGTTCCATAGAATCTTACCGATATCATAAGCTCAGGATTTCTTGTCAAAATTTTCTGAGTTGAAGCATTTCTAACCCAGTCCTTTGCTTTCTTTTCAGATAGTGTTAGAATGTCTGACAAAGAATATTTGTTGTATTTCTTTGAGTATCTTACGTTTAAATCACCTATTCTAACCATTTTGGTGTCATTGTCTATCTTTTTAACTGTTTCAAGCTCAATGTTTGTCATTTTCTGTTCTTACATACAAAATAAAAAAATAAAAAAAAATAAAACTAACTTTTTTTTTCTATCTTGTATAAAAGATATGATTTCAGGGATTTTTTTGACGAAGTGTAAAAGTTCTCTTCGTCAAAAAATACAGTTATATAATGAAATTTGGTCATTTTTTCACGATTTTCATAGAGTTTTAGGCGACTGGGTTTTTTTACCTACTCGCAATTTTTCACGATTTTCATGAGTTTTTTTTACTGTTTTCATGAGTTTTGGCGACCCCGAAAAAAGTCTGGGTCGCAAATTTTTACGATTTTCGAATGGAATCTCTACCCTCGGTTTTCCGAGGGTAGCAAACATATGAGGAAATTCATGAAATTTGGTCATTTTTTTCAGCAAAAATATATTTTAGGTGGAACCAGGTCCCTCGGTCCCTCGGTCAACTAACATCTTTTTGAAAATAGTGACAACATGACATTTTGACAACAACACAGGAAATAAACTTCTTCGTATATGTTTTGTCACGATTTCAGGGATTTTTTTTACGAAGTGTCAAAGTTCTCTTCGTCAAAAAAATACAGTTATATCATGATTTTTGGTCATTTTTTCACGATTTCATAGAGTTTTTTTACGAAGTGTAAAAGTTCTCTTCGTCAAAAAAATACAGTTATATCATGATTTTTGGTCATTTTGTCACGATTTCAGGGATTTTTTTTACGAAGTGTCAAAGTTTCTCTTCGTCAAAAAAATACAGTATATATCATGATTTTTTGGTCATTTTTTCACGATTTCATAGAGTTTTTTTACGAAGTGTAAAAGTTCTCTTCGTCAAAAAAATACAGTTATATCATGATTTTTGGTCATTTTTTCAGCAAAAATATATTTTAGGTGGAACCAGGTCCCTCGGTCCCTCGGTCCCTCGGTCAACTAACATCTTTTTGAAAATAGTGACAACATGACATTTTGACAACAACACAGGAAATAAACTTCTTCGTCAATGTTTTGTCATGATTTCATCGTAATGAGCGTAAATCAGACAAAAATATATTTCTACCATAAAGTTTTATAAGCGTTTTACATGAATTGTACGATGTATATTTGAAATCCTAAACAGTTTTGTAGCTTCTATTTCTTCTGTCAGTATGTCAAAAGTTTTAACAATGCCGAATGTTTCTTTATATTTCTTCTTGACGTCAGATAGAAGGAAATCGTCAGCAGTTGGATAGTTTTTGTTCAGAAATGTCAACATGTCCATTTTATCTTCTGCTGGTTTCTCTACTTCTTTCTTTAAGTCAGCATAGTCGTTTCGCATACCTTCTATCTCTTTGACGGAGTAGTTATATTTCCTCATTGCTGCTTTACATTTAGAACATTGTGGGTTCATTTTAGCATTGTACATTGAAACCTTACCTGCAAGTACGACTAAGGCGTAAATGGTTTTCTTTAACTCAAAGGCTGCTGGTTTTATTTGTCCGTTCCATACTTTACCTCTTCTATCTTTATCTCTTATCTGCCATACACATTTTGCAACTAACGAAACAAAGTTGTCGTAGGTCTTAAATTCTTCAGATTTATATATGTCAATGAAATATACCATATCGCAGTCTTTGTGGTTGCAATGAAATCCAAGAAACTCATAGTTTACCTTACGTATGAACTTCTTTATTTCTACTGAGTCAGTTGCTTTGACTTCTATTTCATCGAATTCAGGAATAGTGAGCTTTTGTTGTTGGATTTCAGGAAGTTTAGGTAGATGGTCAATAATATCCTGCATTTCATAAAGATACTGTTCATTTTCTTCATCTTTTGCACTACAGTCTAAATCTCCTTGGAGAAGTTCCTGCTTTATCTTCTGGATTTCTGTTTCGAAAGTATATGAAGAAGGAATGAAGCTTTTCATTTCTACTAACATTGAAGTTGGGTTCATGACTAACGAGTTTGGTGCTGTTGTTGCTAACATGTTCTTACAATAAAAATAAAAAAATATTTTTTTTAAAAAAAAACTAAAATATATTTTTGTCTGATTTACGCTCATTACGATGAAATCATGACAAAACATATACGAAGAAGTCTATTTCCTGTGTTGTTGTCAAAATGTCATGTTGTCACCATTTTCAAAAAGATGTTAGTTGACCGAGGGACCGACCAGGACCCCTGGTGACCTGGTGACACCTAAAATATATTTTTGTCTGATTTACGCTCATTACGAAGAAGTCTTGACAAAACATATACGAAGAAGTTTATTTCCTGTGTTGTTGTCAAAATGTCATGTTGTCACCATTTTCAAAAAGATGTTAGTTGACCGAGGGACCGAGGGACCGAGGGACCTGGTGACCTGGTGACACCTAAAATATATTTTTGTCTGATTTACGCTCATTACGATGAAATCATGACAAAACATTGACGAAGAAGTTTATTTCCTGTGTTGTTGTCAAAATGTCATGTTGTCACCATTTTCAAAAAGATGTTAGTTGACCGAGGGACCGAGGGACCGAGGGACCTGGTGACCTGGTGACACCTAAAATATATTTTTGTCTGATTTACGCTCATTACGATGAAATCATGACAAAACATTGACGAAGAAGTTTATTTCCTGTGTTGTTGTCAAAATGTCATGTTGTCACCATTTTCAAAAAGATGTTAGTTGACCGAGGGACCGAGGGACCGAGGGACCTGGTGACCTGGTGACACCTAAAATATATTTTTGTCGAATTCAGCACAAAATTCATGAAAATTCAACGGGTGAATTTTGTATAAAAACCAACCCGCTGTTTTCCGGCGATTGGTATATTCTTCACAAAATGCTTGTTTTGAGGTTGAGCCACTTTTGGCTCGACCTCTTTTTTCAACCAAAACTCATTTTTCAATACTTTTTCAGCACTTTTCCGTAGTTGTATATGAAAGACAATTCGAGATAAAAGTCATAGTACAATGGTATTATATGTTGCACACCGTTTGTTGTGAACCAAACTTGAAAGTCAGAGAAACTGTTACTAGGTGGTTCGTAGAATTTAGAAGCAAAGTCATAAAAGTCCTTACCAATACAAAGAAAACTGTTGTTGCTTGAACTGAAACTTGCATGACACATGACATTTTGAGGGTCAAACACGTTTCTATAAACTGTCAAATCTGCTAGTGGAAGTATAAATTTAAATGGACCATCTGGTGGTAATGGTTCGTTCTGGTTTAGTAACCGAAGAAATTGTGCCCAAGAACGTTTGTCTACTCCCCAAAATAAAAACTCTGTATCTCTTGGAGGGTTAATTTCAATCTTTTGAAATGAAACGGTGGAGTTCATCTTGTCATATTCTAGTTTCAGATAGTATGTTCCATTTAGTAAAGAGTCATATTTTTCTTGAAATTCCCAGTAGTATTTGTTCATTTGAGTTTGAAAGTCATTTAGAGTTTTCTCAAGACTTTCGTCTGAACGAATTGTAAAGATTTTCATTTCGTCAAATTTGTCTATTAGACCATCAGAACCTTTATACTGCCCATGAAAATATACTGCGAACATAAACGCGTTAGTTCTATTTGAAAACAAAACTCTTCTAAATCCTATTGCCTTTGCATCTGAAGGACTTTGAAGCCAACGAATTGGATAGTCAAACCTGTAAGCTCCGGATGAAATTTCTTCATCTGAAATATTCCTACCAGCATTTGTAAAGATATAGTCTAACGGTTTTGTATCTGCTACTTTTGTTCTTTGTTTTTCAACCTGAAGCATTTAATATATGTAAAAATATACTGTTTTAAAATGGTATGCCATATAGCTTCTTGAATTTGTTAAGAAGTATTTGAACGTATTTTCCATCTGTATCTCTAGTGTTTACATAAGCATAGCCCGCCTTAGTAAAATATACTTGTAATTTCCTATAGTTTACGCCGGTATAAAAGTAGAAAGAGTCTTGTTCTTCGCTATAGTAGTAAAACTCAAACGTATGCTTGCCATAGTCTGTAATTTCAATTGTTTCATCTTCTAGTTCGTCGACAAATTCGAATACAATATCTCCAAATTTGCCTTTGTTCTTATTGTTTTCAGAACAAGTGACCCAACGTAAGTTTTCAAGTCTATTGTCGTTTCTTATACGGTTTATATGGTCTACAAAAGGTAAATTGTTAGGATTCAGTATAAAATGAGTTGCAATGACAACATGTTTAAAATAGTGTTTTCCACCCATATTCATAATAGCATATCCGTCATTTCCCTCCCATTCGCTTAAAACTCTTTTTGTCTTTTTGTTTCTGACTTCAAATGACTCACAACAGTGAATTTCATATTTCTCATCTAACAAACAAGTTTCCCAACGGTCTGCTCCAACAAACTCAGCGTACATTTCAAATAAAATAAAAAAATATTTTTTTAAAAATATATTGTTTATTTCATGCAATGTTTTATTTCTGTGCCGTCTTCAAGTATGCCCCAGTACTTACGCTTGGATATTACATGAAAATCGGAAAATACCTTATCTAGCTTAAAACAGCCCATCTTTTCACCGACCATTCCCATTTCAATGAGTTTGTTGTATCCTTCTTCGTTCGTCATGAGTGCGTCAATGTTCTCATAGTAAACCACAACTTTGGATTTGACTTCGTAGCGAAGACCAGACAATTTGTCATAGACTTTTATGGGTCTTCCCTTCCTATATTTAAAATTCTTCGAAACTCTCCAACCATATCTTTGTAACTCTGCTTTTATTCTAGCAGACTTTCTATCCATTCTATATGGGGGCATTTTTATAAAAATAAAAAAATATTTTTTTCTTTACTTTACATAACCGCCTGCTGCCATAAGTCTTTGACGCCAACCCATACCAGCTAATGAAGGTTGACTTGGTTTAGTTTGGAAACTAAACTTTGGTTTTGGTTTATCTTCAGTTTTTGGTTTTTCTTCTTCTATCTGTTTTTCGTCACTTTTTGGTTCCTTTGACTTTACTTCACTTGCAGGTAAAGTTGTGTCGTCAACATCTTCATAAATATCATATGCCATTTGTTTTTGTTTTCCTTTCAACTTTTTGTGTTTGTTGTAAAGTTTAGAATATTTCGACTCTAAGTCAATGAGATGTTCTATAATGAACTGTTGGTCAGTGAAGTAAACTTTTCCATCTGTTGTCTCGAAAGCTCCTTCAGACTTCAATATTTTATTTGTGAGAGTCTGTTTCTTTTTTGAGATACTAGCCGTTCCATTTCTATGAAAAGTGACTTTGTAGTTAGGGTTTGTATTTCCAGACCTGGCACTTTCTATTATTGGAATTTTTCTCTTCATCTGTAAGTTCTTTGACAGGTTTGACAATGGGTTCTGAACTTTTTGTTTGTGGTGTCAAATCTACCGTTTCAACTTCTTCGGTCATTTCATCTCAGTAAAAAATTTTAGTTTGTTTTGTTTTCAACTGGTTGTTTAGGTTTTTAAGTCGTCTAAAACTTCCTGAGGTATAGGAAGAACTTGACAAACACGTTGTGTAACTGCTGAAGCCGACAAATCCATCTTGAACCCATTTGTCTCAATGCTGTATTGTTCATTTCATCTCAGTAAAAAAATTTACATTCCCCACGTTTGAGGCGGTTGAGGTTGGTTATTGTTTACCCACTGTTGTGCATGGTATATATCCTCTGTTAAAGAATCTTTCACCTTGGTCCATATAGTGTCCTGCTTGGTTATAGTAGTCATTTGCTTTTTATAATAGTTTCCTGCTTGTCTTCCTACATTGTCCATCCATCCTTGAACTTTTCCTCTTGTTTCAGGATTTGGAATAAGATTTGTTGCATCTCGTGCTACATCCCAACCTTTCTGTACAGTTTGTATAATAGGTTGTGCTTTCTCTTTAAGTATACCTAATGTACTCAAAATCTTCCTTCCAACTCCAAATACACCTCTGGCTATTGTTCCCACTGCGGGTAAAAATCTGGATGCAACTCCTGCTAATGCGCCAAATAAACCCATTTCTTATGGGTTAAAAAATGACGAATTCAAACAAGGACCCCTATGTTTCTAAGGCAACAAAGAAAGCACTCATGATAAAAATCTTTAGTTCAACACCAAATGCTTGGTTTATGGATATCTTGGAAAACATTCCGAGGTATAGAGAAGATGGACCACCATACTGGTTAATATTTGTCGGTCAAAACACAAGATACTGTGAAGCCATACCATTATGGTCCAAAAAATATTTTAGATGTGAAAACTGCTTTGACAATATTCGTTGACAAATACCATCCAACAAAACTGACATCTGACTATGAAAGTTCTTTCAAATCAGACGATATTAAAAACTATCTGCGTTCAAAAAATGTAAACCAATATTTCATTGTCGACCAAAACCATTCTGCTCTTGGTGTCATTGACGGTTGTATAAAAATGTTAAGAGACTTAAACCAACCACAAGGTGGTGAAGCAAATGAAATGTCATATGACGACAAATATAGACACTTCTCCATGGCAAAGATGAGACAAGTTTTAAATATTTACAATAGCCGTAAACAAAAAGGTTTGGGAAACCACTCCCTGAAGAAATGAAAAACAACCCTGACTTAGAGAAAGACTATATATTTAACAATTTAGTCAAAAGAGACAAACAAGAAAGAATGCCGGGCTTCAAACTTCAGAAAGGTGACAAAGTAAAAATAGAAATACCTAAACGCGACCCATATGAAAATACTATTGACTATGACAACAATGGGAACCCGACAGGTACTCACGTTCGTGTTCGTAAAAAATAGAAGAAAGTATACAAGAGAATATTATGAAGTTTTAGGCAAACATGGCAAAATGTACACACTGCAAGCAGAAGATAAAACTACTATTGTCAGACCTCGTTTCAAACTTGTCAAAGTTCAAGGTGGTATACTTTCAAAGACAGTTCCTAACAAATATAAGACAACTCCTGACGAATATGCTAAAGAAGTTGAAAATGACGACTAAGCAATTCTATACCATGCGTAAACTGTCATGTAAGGTGGCATGTATTCTTACTTTGTCCCGTTGTTTGCGTATATCCTGAAACGAAATGTGTATGGTTTCCTTCTCCCTGAGTGTCACTCCAGTAACAATTTATAGCAAACTTAACGTCGTCTTTAACATCATATCCTTTACCTTTTGTCATTCCTGACCAATCCCAATATCTATGCTTATGCCAACCTGCTTGAGATGTACTTAAATCTATGTAGTGACTGTGTGCAGGTAAATTTTCACCTGAAATCGTTTTACTTCCACCTGTTTCCTTTGAAGAGTTTGCACAATACAAAAACCTGTCGACTATTTGTTCCATGCACCAACACCAAACATTACTTGAGGACCTCTTGCTTCCATAGATGTATAAATAGAACCTACTGGGTTCATTAAATCAAACATATGAGATATTATAGGATTGTCTCTTTTGAACTTAAAATATAGTGCAACTATTTCAGGTTTCTTCTGGTTTGTGTCAGAATATTTTTATAATATAATCTTATGTTTTCAGGGTAGGTAAAATCTTGACTATAATATTTATTTCTGTCATCTGTATAATAGTATACTATTCTCGTTTTTTCTATTGCATATATATCTTTATATCTATAATATTCTAAATATAATGTTAGCTTTTGTTCATCTACATGTGGTGTTCTGACATCATCTCCATAGTCATAATAATATGGTGCTGGAGCTGGGTCAGGCAATGTCATATCTGCCATTTCATAAACTCTTAAATATTTCTTTTGTTCGTCTCCATATATGTTTAAGTAGCAGTTGTTGTCTAATGGAACTTTAACTTGTGTACCATCATTCTTTTTATAGCTTACATACATTTCATTGTTATTTTTCGGAATGAGTTTATACCGTGTACCATTTTCTAAGGACTGTACAAACTGCCATCTAAAATATTTATTTTCTTCATTGACAGAAAAGTCACCAACAATAGTTTCAATATTTTTTGTTCCAACTAAACTTTGGTATATTTCATTGACATATGTTTTATCTGCTTTATTTTCAAGGCTAACGTTTAAGTCTGTTATTTCAGAAGATGTATGTGTATGTCCAACGTCACTTTTCCTGTTTAAGGTTTCTTGTAAGTTTGTAATATTTGCAATGGTATGTGTATGTCCAACGTCACTTTTCCTGTTTAAGGTTTCTTGTAAGTTTGTAATATTTGCAATGGTATGTGTATGTCCAACGTCACTTTTCCTGTTTAAGGTTTCTTGTAAGTTTGTAATATCAGATATAGAATGTGTATGTCCAACGTCACTTTTCCTGTTTAAGGTTTCTTGTAAGTTTGTAATATTTGCAATGGTATGTGTATGTCCAACGTCACTTTTCCTGTTTAAGGTTTCTTGTAAGTTTGTAATATTTGCAATGGTATGTGTATGAGTCTTATTTGCTTTTGTCTCTAAGGTTTCTTGTAAGTTTGTAATATTTGTAATGGTATGTGTATGAGTCTTTTTAGAATATTCGTTTTCAGCTCTTGTCACTTCACTTGACATTTTATTGTCAACATATGTTTTGTCTGCTAGTTCAGGATGAGTATGTTCTTTTGTTGCATATGTTGCATCTGCTCTGTCATGTTCTTCTTGAACTTTTTCAATGACATACTCTTTGTCAGCTTTGTTGTCAACATCTGCTTTCAAAAGAAGTTCCTTTATAGGTTTCTCGTTTAAAGTTCCTTTTGTTGGATTTATAGAGACAGTATGGTTCCTATTGTCTTGAAACAGAAACTCATCTGTCATTGGGTTCATTGTCAGTTTTAAGTTTCCTTCTTTCAATGACTCAGATATCTTAGAATAGTTTGAAAAGTTTGTTGTGTTCTTATTTAGAGCTTGTACAATGAGTTGTCGGTTGTGTTGTATTTCTCTCATAGACGCTGTTTCTTTCGACATTTTTATTCTAGATAAAATATGCTTTCAATAGAAAAAGAAAATTCAAGAGTTGCTACAACTAAACCATTAGATGAACTTTTTACTAACGTAGGTCAAAAGTTTGAGACAGAGACCGTAAAGCATGAAGGCTATCGTTTTGACTACCCACTAAGATGGTTAAGAGACCCATCCGTCACAAAAGCTGTTGGCTTTCGTAGAATGAAGTTCATTTCAGAAGCCATACATGGTTTCCCATTTACGGTCGCTTTTGAAATTCGATACTATAACAAAGAGAAACGTACGTATGAGAAATTTGAACAGGGAAAACTTTTACAAGTTAGTTTGCTTGTAAACTTAGAAACAACTCTTCAAGCTTTTCAAGAAAAAATAAACGATATCTATCTCGAATATGCAAACCAGTTTAACATTGACGAAGGAGAGTACCATCTCGATATATATATGACAGGAAAAATGCAACTGTTAAAATCAATAGAATAGAAGACCTTGGAGAAAACGTTTATATTTCTACAAAATATAACAACTTGGCATGGTATAGATTTTTGAGGATGTTAAATCAGCCTGCAGCATATCCAGTACACCCGAACTTTTATGAAGTCGAAAACCCTAATGGAACATATGAAAATGTTTTCGACCAAGATGCTATTATAGTTCATGCTTCATTTTCTGGTGCACAAAACTCTTTTTTATGCTTGGCAAATGACTTTTACGAAAAACCTACAAAGTTATACGAACCACCAAGTGGAAGTATTTCAGACTTTCAAGTATGGTTTACTACAGATGGAAGAAAGAGAATAATTCCATTATACCATGCGTTTTACTTAGAACTTAGTTTCATATACAACTACTATCGAACGGTAAAAATATAATTTTTTA